ACAATGTTTCGAAAGTCTTCCACCTGAAGACGAAAGGCGGAAGACTTTCGAAATGTCATCCTCTACATTTGTAGGTTTTCTACAACAGGCAGTTGCTGTCCATTTGAAACGTAGATTCATAATGAGACATATTTATGTATGTGAAATCATAATGAGACTTGATATTTATATATGTGAAATCATAATGAGACATATTTATGTATGCAAAATCATAATGAGACATAACATTTATGTATGTGAAATCATAATGAGACATATTTATGTATGTGAAATCATAATGAGACAATATTTTTGAGGTTGTTGGATCCTTTTTAACATACTCTCTAGTAACTTAAATTAATTGAGGTGTGTGAATAATATTATGGCTTTGTGCCTAATATATTATTTGATATTATACAGGGGACCAACTGTTTGAAGAGGCCTAACTGTATTTTTTTGGCTTGTAGACCCAAGCTGTTTTGATAAGTCTTGAATACTGAAAAGTGCAGTCCACAGCAGAATGTGTGGCAAGTCTAAAAATTAACTAGGCTTTTACATCACAGATTATATTTTCAACTTTAGCTTTATTAAAAGTAATAAATAATCTGTAATGTACTCATAAAGGCTGATGATAAGTTAAGGCATATCATTATTTATTTGTAGGAAGAGTGTATAACAGTATTTGAACTACACATTATATACTGTATTGTACTACTGCTTGCCATGCAGATTTTTTGTAGCACTTGACTTCAGTTTTGTAACTTGTAGTTGTGTAATATCTACAAAAAAAAATTTCTGCTTCATTGAAGTTCTTAGTCTTACATGTATATATTTATACAATGTGTTTATTTGCATGTTTTCTTTCTTCAGTAATACCATGGAGACGACTATAATTGAAAAGGAATTAACTCAGTTACAAAAACAACATTCATCATCAGCTAACTTTTCTCAACCAACAGAGATCTCGGGATTTTCATTCAGTGAATTTCAAAACTCTTCCCAAGATGTTGACCACATGTTTTCTCACCCTGTTTTGAATGAACATTCACCTTCTGCTGTTTCCGTAGCTCAAGAGTAAGTTGTTTTATATTTTTCAAAGTTGCTGTTAACACTAAATACAATTACATTGCAAAGATTGAGAAATTTTGAATTTGACAAATATAAATATGAGAGAGTTTATAAGTTAAAATTTACTATCACAAACAGAAAATTGTTTTCAATCATTTCTCAGTTGGTAACATTAGGAAAACATTTTACAATATTCATGAGATACATATATGAAGTAATAAGTATTTTTTTTTTTAACAAAGACAGTGGGCAAACAACCACTGAAAAGAAAGAAATAACCTTTTTCCTTACCACTATATCAGTGTGCGCATACTTTTAGGAAAGTTCTGTGGTTGTGTTTTGTTCTTAAGAAAAAAATTAAATATACATACTAGTGTTTTAAAATATATGATAAGTTATAATTATGTTTAGTAGTGTATATAATCACCTAATTGTAAACAAAAGATGAAACAAGCATTCAACATTCACCTAACTGATAACACACAGTCAACATAGCATAGAGGTCAGCACGACCTGAGTATCCTTCCTGAAACTATCTATGTAGTCAATTACAGCTGTAAAGAGAGACACCCCGGCTGAGTGGAAAGCACACCAACCTGAAACCATTTATATAGCTGATTAAAACTGTAGAGAGGAAGATTCCAGCAGAGTGGACAGCACACCAACTTGGATACCCCTCCTGAAATCATTTACATTGTTCATTACAGCTGTAAAGAGGGACACCCCAACTGAGTGGACAGCACACCACACCAACTTGGATACCCCTCCTGAAACCATTTATACAGTTGATTACAGCTGTAAAGAGGAAGACCCCAGCTGAGTGGACAACACACCAACCGGGATACTCCTCCTGAAATTATCTATATAGCTGGTTACAACTGTAAAGAGGGACATCTCAGCTGAGTGGTCAGCAGAGGACACCAACCTGGACACTTCTCCTGAAACCATTTACATTGTTCATTACAGCTGTAAAGAGGGACACCCCAACTAAGTGGACAGCACACCACACTAACTTGGATATCCCTCCTGAAACCATTTATATAGTTGATTACAGCTGAGTTGATATTCCTTCTGAAACCACTGATATAGTTCATTACAGCTTTAAAGAGGGACATCCCAGCTGAGTGGATATTCTTTTTGAAGCCATTTATATAGTTCATTACAGCTCTAAAGGGAGACATTCCAGCTGAGTGGATATTTCCTCTGAAGCCATTTATATAATTCATTACAGCTCTAAAGAGGGACATCCCAGCTGAGTGGATATTCCTTCTGAGGCCAGTTATATAGTTCATTATAGCTCTAAAGAGAGACATTCCAGCTGAGTAGATATTTCATCTGAGGCCAGTTATATAGTTCATTACAGCTCTAAAGAGGGACATCCCAGCTGAGTGGATATTCCTTCTGAGGCCAGTTATATAGTTCATTATAGCTCTAAAGAGAGACATTCCAGCTGAGTAGATATTCCTTCTGAGGCCAGTTATATAGTTCATTATAGCTCTAAAGAGAGACATTCCAGCTGAGTAGATATTCCTTCTG